TATATATATATGTTACAGTAAATATGGGTAGACGAAGAATTGATATATTCATAACAATCATGTAAGCTGTAAATGTTTTCCCCCACGTTGTCATAATTTGTCCATTTCGGATTCAAAAGCAGAGGCGCGTAAAAATAACATTTCAGATCTATCTTTTGTCTCCCACAACTCACTAAACTAGAGGAATGTGAAAAACATTTACAGTTCATGTGATTTTTATAAGTAATGTTAGGCTTATTGATTTGTAATCTTTCGCTAGCTTTCGGCGTTTATAACGTAACTACTATGCATAATAAGCAAAGTCATTGGAGAACATTTTGCACATTGTCCGATTAACATTCATAATGACCACTGGCAATATACACTTGACAAGATACTTTGCAAAACGTCATTATTCAAAATACACACATTCCCTCAAAACTCTGGTTAATGTGTATAATGACCATTAAATATGCACACTTCCTAAATATACGCATTCGTCGTAGCATACACACAAACACATCTTTACAGAGAGAGTATAGGTAATTGGAGTAGATGAGAAGTTAAAAGATAAAACGTGAAAATCATTTATTGCTTCATGGGCGGATCCAGGATTTTTTTAGGAGGAAGGTGGTGTAACTAGAGAATAGCTGATAAGAACCGGTACTGAGACAACGCCCAAGCGAGAGGGGTGGGATATACTTAAAAACATTTGTGAGATGAACGCTCTACAACACGTTTCTGAAACATGTTTGAGACTTTTTACAACTTTTAGCGTGGAATAAAAAATCTGTTTTTAGGTGATGGAAATACTGAAAGCGTTCTTTTCTTGTCAATAAAATTGTTTCGTCTGACTATGGAGAGTATACATTTCAATAAATGATAAATTAATTAACTCACTCCTACAATTAACAAAGAACGACTTTAAAGTTTTCACAAACAAAGGTTGACTAGGCATGAGTCTATTTCTTTGTATGTACAGATTATTGTTGGATAAATGTTACTTTTTAATGACAAATAACACTACACTGATAGATGGTTACTAATGAGACAAATAACACTACACTGATAGATGGCTGTTGATGAGATAAATAACACTACACTGATAGATGGCTATTGACGAGACAAATAACACTACACTGATACATGGCTGCTAATGAGACAAATAACGCTACACCGATAGATGGTTACTAATGAGACAAATAACACTACACTGATAGATGGCTGTTGATGAAATAAATAACACTACACTGATAGATGGCTATTGACGAGACAAATAACACTACACTGATACATGGTTACTAATCAGAAAAATGACTCTACACTGATAGATGGTTGTTGATGAGACAAATAACACTACACTGATAGATGGCTATTGACGAGACAAATAACACTACACTGATACATGGCTGCTAATGAAACAAATAACACTACAGTGATAGATGGCTACTAATGAGACAAATAACACTACAGTGATAGATGGCTATTGACGAGACAAATAACACTACACTGATACATGGCTGCTAATGAGACAAATAACACTACACCGATAAATGGTTACTAATGAGACAAATAACACTACACTGATAGATGGCTATTGACGAGACAAATAACACTACACTTATACATGGCTAGCCATGTATCAGTGTAGTGTTATTTGTCTCGTCAATAGCCATCTATCAGTGTAGTGTTATTTGTCTCATTAGTAGCCATCTATCACTGTAGTGTTATTTGTCTCATTAGCAGCCATGTATAAGTGTAGTGTTATTTGTCTCATTAGTAACCATCTATCGGTGTAGTGTTATTTGTCTCATTAATAGCCATCTATAACTGTAGTGTTATTTGTCTCATCAGCAGCCATGTATCAGTGTAGTGTTATTTGTCTCATTAGTAGCCATCTATCACTGTAGTGTTATTTGTCTCATTAGCATTAATGAGACAAATAACACCACAGTGATAGATGGCAATTAATGAGACAAATAAAACTACACTGATAGATGGCTTTTGACGAGACAAATAACACTACAGTGATAGATAGCTATTAATGAGACAAATGACACTACACTGATAGATGGCTATTAATGAGACAAATAACACTACAGTGATAGATGGTTGTTAATGAGACAAATAACTCTACACTGATAGATGGTTGTTGACTGTTAAAGCTTGTACATATCAACAGACTATAGGTAGACGAATGTCACAATACAGATTGCGCTATGGTTAGACTAATAACTATATGTAAACGTTAAAATATTGTTTACTTTTGTTTGTTTGGAGTTTGATTGTTAAAGCTTGTACATATCAACAGACTGTAGGTAGACGAATGTCACAATACAGATTGCGCTATGGTTAGACTAATAACTATATGTCAACGTTAAAATATTGTTTACTTTTGTTTGTTTGGAGTTAAGCACAAAGCTACACAATGTGCTATTTGTTCTGTACCCATCATGGGTATCGAAACCCAGTTTCTGATGTCCACAGACTTACCACTGGGGAGCATCAAGATTGCCCTAATATGGAAAAAGTTCTACCAGATAAATATGTATCGCAGTATATTATGTACAATTGTATCGTTTATAAGGAGACACCAAATACATTGAAAATTATAAAAACATCTCAGGAGCTCTGTAAAACGTTATGAAAAGACTATGTACCTTTGCTTTGATTGCGACAATGCTGACAACCCTATCCAGGTCATTTAAAATATTCCACTGAATGTGAAGCAGTGCGAGTCCATATGGCGCTTCTCAGGAATGTCTAAAAACGGTGATGGACTGTGATCATCCATTCATGTTGTCATAGGGACAGTACAAATCACTTGAAGAAGCGTCGAGAGATACGGAAATATTTTATTTTCATAATGATTAAATACTGCGATTTGAGAGTCAAGCTGGGTCGAACTTAAAAAATTGTTTGTATAAACAATGAAGACACTGGAGACGGCAGTTCAGAGTCGCTAGGTTCTCAGCTGGAACCTTCCATTTTCATAATAAATGACGGTAGGGGGATTTGTGTATATTCTCAAAATCTGTGGTCAGGTTCGTCTATCAAGTTGTTGAGAAACGAAATCATCACGAATCCTTGTCTGCTTCTACACCGTCATTATGATTCCGTTGATTGTATTATCTTGGAACTGTTGCCACTTCAGTCTCTGTTTTCTCAATTAATTTTTCAGTTTCTCGACATCTACCACTTTTGCCAGTCATCCATATTTTCTTGCACATCTTTCACCAATATCATCGCATTAAATGTCCAGCACACTTTGCTGAAGCAACATAGTCAAGCTTTTGATGTAACTAAGGATGTTGCAAATGACCACAAATGTGATGACAAATGAACTATTTTCAACGGCTGCAAACAGGCCATTTCCATAATTTATTATTGGACAGATCTATGATTCTGTACCTTGGCAGTAGGCAATGTTACATAGTGCTTGGATGACAGCAGAGTACAGTTCCAAAATGACTCGAGCACTGTATAGCGTTTATCCATTTTGTTTTGCAATGCCTTCTGTTGTCAGCAAAGTAATGTTCGATCAATTCAAACAACTTATCCTGCCTGTCACTTACCATGTTAAAAAAATTGCGTAGCCCACTTACAGTACACTTTATATTACTTACCAGAAAATAGAGCAGGAGTGTATGATAGACAGATTGAACAAATGGCTAAACCAATGAAAGTAAGTAGCCAAAGGGTATTTCTTCGGAATTATCGCACTTGCAGTATTCACAGAAGCCTTGTCCATGCATATATTCACAGTCAAGACCCGATTCCTTTAGCTTATGTAATATTGGTGCTACTGTCCAGAATATTTCATAATGCTGTTCTTTGAATACTTAAAATTTTCCTTCATAACTAAAGCAACACTTTCCCAGTGAACATACCTCAAAATTAAGCTGATATGTTCAATAGAAGCATCATTCTGTATTTCATCAGAGAGGATGGAGAACATGTCAGATTTTATGTTCCTTTTTTTTTCTGATTATGCCATCAATTACATCGATCACTTCGTTTTGTGTAATGTTTGAGCAATAGGTTTCATTTTTCCATGTGTTCCTTCAAAGCAGTACCACCAGCATCACACCAGAGGTGAAGAAGCACTAGGGAATTTCCAGGATTGGTAGTGTACTCTTCGTCTTTCTCGTCTGTGATATCATCTCTACGACCTCCAAGAATAATACCCAACCATTCACAAACTTCTACAGTGGTCTTACTGTATATAATTTTTAATTCTTTGCAGTTTGTATGGTGAACGACTTATTCATCTGCCTGTTGCTATCGTGATTACCAGTTAAGCTGTATTTGATATATACAATATGATGGTACTTTGACTTCTTATGAAACTTCAGAAGCTCTACAGCTTTCTTGAATTTTACAAGAAGCATTGTCACAAGGGCATTTGGATTATATTCCCTCTCTTCCAAACTGAAGGAGAAAGGAACAATATGCCAGTATATCCCATTCTCAGACGTGCTGTGCATCAACCAGTTGTTCTTGGAAACCTATAAGTCCTGCAATTCTCAGACGTTGGTATTAGACAACTTACTCATACTCCAAATATGTGCTGAAGTCCACTAGACTAGCTAATCTAAGATATCAACTTGACCTCCAAAACCAATCACTTCTCGGTGAATTAAAAACACATGAAACCAAAAACTTGTCTTCAAATCGTCACTCGAGACTTTAAGAAAAGTTTAGGACTGTAGGTCAGCACGTCCTCTGTGTCTAGTGAATTTCATGTTAGATTTTATACATATATGCTGATTAAAGATGTAAAAGACTCTCAGTGTTCATTGAGATTCGAACTTAGTGTGAAAACCATTATGTAGAACAACGGTTTAATTTTTTTTTTTAGGAATTTCGTATAAAGCTTCCCGATGGCTACCTGTGCTAGCTGTCCCTAATTTAGAAGTGATTGAATAGAGGGAAGACAGCTAGTTAACACCACCCACTGTCAATTCTTGGGTTACTCTTTAATCACTAAAAGTAGGATTGATCGTCACATTACAACGCCCCCAAGACTGAAAGAGCGAGCAGTATTAAGCCTAAACGTAAGTTGAAGGAGCGAGCAGTAAGTATTAAGTCTAAACGTCTTCTTCTTTTCTTTCAACAGGCATTTGCAGTCTATTTAAGTTCTCAAAAGAAACAGTTGTCAGTCGAGGAAGAGAAACTGAATAAATAATAGATTTTACACAGTAGTGTCTGGTTACTGTGTAGAGTCAAAGATTTTCGGTTTATCACACACGTTCTAAGCCTACATACTTACCCGAAGAAGTTTCATTGTGATTAACACTGATGTACAAAAATTTTCTTTTATTGCATCATTGGTTTTCTAATGAGTAATGAATTAAAGGTTAGTTTTATATTTGTAAGAAAATATAATTTATTAAATGATGTTAACTAAAAGTTAAATATTAACTGTAACCACTCTACGATTTGTTTGTTTATCTTTAGATCAAAGACAACTTTAGCTATTTACGGGATCCACTTTGAGGAATCGAACCCCCGGATTTTAGCGTTATAAGTCCGAAAACTTACTACTGTCCCACCGGGGGATCCTACTTTAAGGTCAGTGATAAGAGAAACAAAGTTACCAATTCTACCTAAATTCGTTCATTACATAATTTAACGATTAATCTAATGTAGTGTTATCATGTTAATTCATTAAGTCGTATCGAGGATCTTTTTTTGATGTAGCTGCATTTTATGAAAACGATAATTAGACATTTTGAAGTGTGTTCTGGTAGACATTGAAATTACTGACTATAATATTCATTGATTATTAACAAGACACTAAACAAGTCGAGTTCTCTTTATTATAAATGTTTGTAGTTTGTTTCCCGGAGTTAAAAGTAATCTTATCAAGCTATTTGTAGAATAATAGTTTTATTTCTGTACAATATTTCGGCTCTAACAGTGAGGCTTTATCACGTGCAATATTTAAGGTACAAGTAATCTTGTTTAGCGAAAGTGTCCTTATGTGCCTTTTTTCCCTTACTTTTATTTCTCGTCTGAAAATCTCTATTTCATTCTCTATCTTCTAGACAAACGAGGCCGTCAGTATTTCTGTCCCTATATCAATCTCACAATGAGCAAACAAACTGACAATCAAGTCTTATTTATCTTCTAGCGTGCTGTCTGCCCGAAGCCTTCTTGCCAAACCAGTGGGAGGGGAGCTGTTCTAGTTTCGCTGTATTAGAACGTAAGTCATCGACCTTATCTGCACGTGAAACTTCAAATCTTTACTGTTGGTGCAACTAAAACTTCTGGGATTATTACGAACTTTAAATAAGTGAACATTGAAACAGTTATCAAAATTCAACATCTTAAAGAATGTCTTCAATATATATAGACCTTGTATAAAGACACATACATATGAATAATGTAAATGTTAATAGTATTAGAAACTCCACTAATCTAATATTTTGTTCACTTTTGCGCAACTCATTAAAGTGAATACATTTTAATTCAACATTCTGTTTAATATCGCATTTTAGATTATTTTTGATATGCCTTCATTTCACCCTGAAAGTATCAGTGTAACCACGACGTATTGGGACTTTGTTGAAATTGTTTAATGATTAATACCCTCCTCTTTCCTGTAATGACGAAGGTAGTTACTATTTGATATTTACAAATGAATGTGATGAATTGACTCTGAATTGTTTTTTCATTCATTGCTAAGATTAATGATGAATTACAGTGAAGGGTTAAAGAAAGTATTTTAATAAATAGATTAAAATCGGAATTAAATGAAACGAATAACACAAGTCTTTCACTGCTAAGTTAGGGACGGTTTTCACAGATAAACAAACAAAATTATTATAGATGTCGTTATTTGTAAATTTCGTTTTGAGAGATGTAAATGATTGTTAATAATCAGAGCATCAATGAATTGAGGAAGAGGCAGGCGGAAGATGTTTTCTTGTTTAATTGTGTCCTTTTATGGTTTGTTTATATGTGTGTGTATATCTAATTTGCTTTTACGTTGCTCGATATTAATTTATTTTGGTTTACAACATCAATAGTATAGTATAGAGGGGATGGATTCCTTTAATTTGTGTAACAAGTTCAACCGTTTAATGCAGAGGATAAAGACACCAAAAAAGGCTTCTTTAAATTAAAGTGCTGAAAGTCAGTATCTGTACACGTAGTTGGTTGCTACTAACTGCAGTAACTGGTTTTGATACTTTTTGTGAACGTGTTTTGTTGAAGGTGGGAGTTTATAATTTTAGTTTGTATATAATATTAGTTTTTATTAGTTAGTAAGTCTCCTGATAGGGTTTGTTTGTTTATTCGTTTTGAATTTCGCTCAAAACTACGCGAGGGCTATCTGCGCTAGCTGTCCCTAATTTAGCAGTTTAAGACTAGGGAAGGTAGCTAGTCATCACCACCCACCGCCAACTCTT